ATATAGAGTTTTTCTCTAATGCGGACATCCGCATTGTGTTAAAGTCCGGTCATGTCCTTCCAGCTTCTTTTCTGTAGGTGGATTTGATTGCATACATATATATAAAGCAAAAACATGGTAAGCACTCCATATATAAATATATAATTAAGGATGGGGCCTTCCAAAAAGTATCCCAAAGGTGGGAAGGTGTGCAGAAGAACAATAAGCAATACCATTGGTTGCTACTGTAAGCTGGTTTCTTTTTCTATTTAATTATAGAGCCATATCAGTGATGAACGGGTTCCACTAAGCTAGTATGGTTCCTCAAGCAAAGTGGATTCCACTAAGAACCAAATCCACTTGCAAAAAAGAAGCTGCAAAGGAGATGACTGGACTTTAACATAATGCAGACGTCCGCATTAGAGAAAAACTCTATATATATATATATGCATATGTCATTAGCATATTACCAAGAAATTTCAGTTACATTATTTTTATTTTTCCTGTTCTCCTACTTGCTTAGAATAGAGACACTGATAGTGAGTGTATTGAACAATTCATATTCATTTTTAAATATCTGTCATATACGGCGCGAGTTAATTGTCAACTTTCATGGAAAATAAAACCAAAATACACCGAAAGAACTTGATTATTCATTTCCCACTCTTTTTTTTTTTAATAGTCGCATCAAAATTCATTCCTAAACCCCATTTGTGCCCCCTTGTCAAGTAGTGGTAAACCCTAAAACTAGTTAATTATTCTGTGAAGATTTCCAAGTATGTTAACGTGTGGAAAAATGCCACTCCACTATACATATAATATATATATATATGCATATGTCATTAGCATATTACCAAGAAATTTCAGTTACATTATTTTTATTTTTCCTTTTCTCCTACTTGCTTAGAATAGAGACACTGATAGTGAGTGTATTGAACAATTCATATTCATTTTTAAATATCTGTCATATACGGCGCGAGTTAATTGTCAACTTTCATGGAAAATAAAACCAATGTTTGCTTTGTACAAAATTTAGAACCCCTGTCTTTTTTCTCTGTTTTTTTCCCCTTCTTTCCCCAAAAATCTTACCCCTCACTAAGATTTATTTTCCCCAAAACCTCTGTAATCATAATCCCTTTTCTCTTTCCCTTTTCTCTTTAAGGATAATTTTCATAACTTAAACGGTGTGAAAATTACGAAATCAAATTTTAGTTTTGTTATATTTTTAAAAGCCTCAAAATTATTTGGTTGGTGATATTTATTTGTTGTTGGAATATTTATTTGTACCTTTACATCGTTAATTATAAAAAGGTGTAGCACGCGAGGCTTTAACTCTTTAAAAACAAAACTTGTATGTAAATGCTGTATCCAGTGTGCAAACCGTCTGAGTTGGAAAATTGCTTACTTAAATTAATGAAACAATACAGAAACTATTTCCTTTAATTGATATGCATCATCAACAGTACCAAAACGACACAACAGGTAAAGGGCCACACAACAAATAAAGATGGTGGGGATGACAACATATAGAATGCATGAATTCTGTTTACACCTGAAATAAACAGCCAATAAGGGCAAGACACGTGGAGAAAACTGGGCTTGGTCAGAGGCGCCCTCGGCACTCTACCTACCGATCTCTCCATTAGGGCAACGCCCCCTCCTGGGACACGTGGCACGCTCTCAAGCGACGCCCACAGTCCCACATCGAAATAATCAACAAAGTGCACACCTCCCAAGACCTATAAAAGGAGGCCAACTATCCCAAAATAGAGGTAATCAGAACTTACGGCATACAAGCCTATTGATCTGTCAGTTGAACTTTCTATTCCCGAACTTACTTAAGCATCGGAGAGCCTTCGGCCGGTACCACACCGATGCCCCAGGTCTTACCGTGCGTTTGCTCATATTGCAGCTTGCGCAGGCTACCGAGGCATCAAGGATACCGAAGGCATACAATTACTAAGTTGACCCTCTAAGTCAGAGAACCACTTTTTGGCGTCAACAAATTCATTTTGAAATTTTATACCTTCCTTGAAGCTTCATAAAGTCAAAGGGGATCCCCATGTATAATATAGTTGTTAATTATGAAGAGATGAAAATTAAAGCTAGAAGACACTAGCTTGTTGTTTTAATACTGATTTAAGTATTGTTTGCCGGCCCTTTCACACTCCATATTTGGCATATATCATACAGAAAGTTATTCTTTTTAAGTCTTCAAATGAGGACATTTTCTTTTTATTTATGCTTTGGATGAAAATAAATTTAGAGAAAATGTCAAACATTCAACTCTATAACCATGCTCCATATCCAATTCTTAAAATAGGGAGCGCTCTAGACGAGAGAAAGAGAGTCCATGAAACTTTCTTCTATTTAATTATTAATATTTTAATACCATTGGAAATTGGCTCCTACTCATTATAGCTCCCTCCTAAACTATATAGGAGCATGGTTGAAGTACAAATTTTATGAAAAAAGCTTCTAAAATAATTTTTCTAGTCTTTATAGTTAAAATAGAACTTTAAAATAGAGTTATTAACGATTGAGATGAGAATGAATTCCCATATAAAGCTTGTAAAATAATTTTTCTAGTCTTTATAGTCCATCATCATTTGAATTTTGATCCCTTGCTAGATATAGTTTGTCATGTAGGAAATGTTATTAAATTATCAGTCTGAATCTAACATGCAGACTAAAAATATCACAATACCTTTTTTTCAGCAATAAGAATATTAAAACATTTGTCTCTAAAAAAAACCACTTAAATATAAGGTTTTTTTTTACCATTAACTTCAAAATAAACAAAGATATAACTCAGTGGAAAATGATCTTGATTTGCAGACTAGTGTCTCATGTTCGAACCATCATGACACCTTGTGTATGAGAAAACCCCCATCTAACTTTGGCCAAAAAAAAAAAAAAATTTGTCACGACCCGACTCCCCTAGCACGATATTGTCCGCTTTGGTCCCCCCTCTCTGCCCTCACAGTTTTGTTTCTGGGAGCTCACGAGCAACTTTCCAGTGGGTCACCCATCTTGGGATTGCTCTAGCCCCCAACTCGCTTAACTTCGGAGTTCCCACGACTCCGAAGTCAGTGAGCTCCCAAAAGGCCTCGTGCTAGGAAGAGAAGTGCCCACACATTTAAAGCACTTCACCTTTCCCTCCTCGAGCGATGTGAGATTGCTCACCATTCTTGTTTCCCCAAGACACTGGTCTTACAAAAAAGATATAAAACTTTTTTTGTTGTTGGAATATTTATTTGTACCTTTACATCGTTATAAAAAGGTGTAGCAGTATGCAAACCGTCTGAGTTGGAAAATTGCATGCTTTTACTTGCGATTCTTAAAGAAGAATAAATATATATGCTAGATTATATATTGGAGAGAAGGAGACGCCATCTCATAAGAACTCAAATCGTCTTGGTGGTGCAGAGATTTTGATCATCAACGACGTTGTTTTCTCTGAAGATAAAGTTCACTACTCTGAATATTCTGCCAATTAGTTTTTGGTACGTTTTTATTTCCTCATCATCTTTTGAATTCACAGTATTAATTCATCCCTTTCTTATAGGAAAAACAAAACCATGAAGAACGAAAGCAACATACATATATAAAGCAAAACTTGAAGCATGCATTAACCCATATTTGAGAAATTTTGAAGTAGAATCAGATTTGGAAGCTTCTGTTTGGTTCAGATAGTGGAAATCTGCTCATTGAGAATATATCCAAATGTATTTCTCTATGTAATTGTGAGAAAGAGAGAGAAAATGGAGAGTTGACGCGTTTTCTAGAGTGACAAAGTGTGAGAAAGAGAGCGAAGATTCGAGAAATCACTTGAGCTATCCAACCGGAAGTTGCATCAATTTGTTCTCTGTGTGAATTTCAGACTTGAAATAGGTTAGATAGTTTAGAGAAGTGTGAAGTATTTTGAATATTAGAGAAATTTTGAAGTAGGATCAGATTTGGAAGCTTCTGTTTGGTTCAGATAGTGGAAATCGAAGAGAGAGAGAGAGAGAGTTTTTTAGTTTGGTTTGGGCTCAGAGGTTGAAGAATCTAACTGTGCCATCTCTCCTGCGACAGGTTTTGTGAAACATGAGTCAATCAAGAGGCTCACCGAATAGACGACGTACAGATGTGGAGGCCGGATTCAGTCAGGCCGGTGACTCGGACGATGAAGAGTCTTCATCAAGTACTTTTTTCGGCCGCCTCAAGCGTTGGAGGGTATGTTTACCTTTGGATTATGTTGATTTGGGAGGTGGTCGTGTGTTCATTTGTCGTTGAACATTTTTTTTTGGGTGGTGGTTTCTATTTTTGTCAAATTACACTTTTACTCTCATCTGGAGTTGGGAGATTAAAGCGTTGATGTTTAGTTTTCCAATATTTTTTTGTGTGTGTTTGCGGTATTGTATGGTAAGTTTCTATATATGGTAATTGTCCCCTGGATCTGGACTTGTGTAGTTTCAAATTTTTAGGAAAAGGGCTTTGGGTCTGTTTAAAACTGAGTTAGGTTCAGTAGGTCCAAAATTAGAAGAAGTAGTGCATGTACAGTTGAAAGAAGATATGGAAAAATGTTGGCTGAAAGAGTATTTTTGTAGAAGGAGGAGTGATATTAACTCTCTTTTTTCACTAACAAAGTCAATATAACGTGAAACGGTAAAGAATTTGGATGATACTTTTGGTATTCTTATGATTTTAAGGTGCTATTAGCAACATAATTCTTTTATTTATTTATTTAACCATGAGAAGTTGTGATGAATGACTATTAGCTTCTCTACATATGGTGGATAGGAATAATACGTACTGCTTCATGTTTCAGCAATGCCGCATTAGTCTATAAAATGTCGAGCATATTGACAAAATATGAGCTATGTACACTCCTTTTTGATGTGCTTATTGTGTCACTCTTGACTCTGACTTGTAGTTTTTCTACCTGTCTGAAACTGGGCCTATATCTCAAGGACTGTTGCATCCTACAATAGCTAAATAAATGAACAAATCCATTTGTGCCGTTGCATGTGTACAAGTCCCTTTATCAATAAAGGAGTGAAGTATTTAATCAACAATCCGAATACAATATGCTGGGTTAGGGATGCAAACAGGTATAAAGAGGCTACTTTGTGGCGCTGACCTTGCCCCAGGAAATGTTGGCATGTATGATCTAAGAGAAAAAAGTATAATCCATCCCATAGTACCGATTATATGACAGGTGCATGAAAATTAAGAGTTCAGATACAAATGCTGAAAAACATATGTAATTATAATACTAATGCATATATAATGATACCAATTCATATGTCATACTTAAAAATTATTATATCAACAACAAAGTGTTAATGCTCTCTTCTCAGATATTTGGCATGTTATGTGGCCGGACTATAGATCTGGACCACAAACTTTAACTTTGGCAACATAACCAGACCGTCTCACAAGAGAGGTTTTTTCATTTTATATTTATCAATTATCGCAGATTACATAATACTAACATCAAGATTCATGTTTTGGTAAAAGTCGAATGAGATCATCAACAAGAAAATCTGTTGATGGGTGAATTTTGTTTTACAAAATTGTTACCAAAAGTGAACTAAATTTTCAGCTAAGTTTGGGTTTTTCTGGTTTTCAATATGTGACAATTGGTTCATTGCGATGCCACTCTGTTAAGGGCTTTAATGGCTGTGCACCAATGGTAGGTTTCTCCATGAATGTGCGTCGGGCTTGGTGGGAGTCCCTGAACCACCTCGGATAAGTTATAGTTGTTAGTGGAAGGATTTTTTATTTTTTATTTCAATCAAGGCTTTGGCTAAACCATGTGATGTTTCTTTGTAGCAAGCGGCACTTGTGCTGAAAACAAATGTGTAATAAATGACTCATGTTCTATTGTTCTTCTAATTTATGATTTTTTTAATTATCAGGCTGCATATCTTTTCAAAGAGGCTGGAAACAAACAAGTGAATGGTACTTCTTTTCCTGTATTTTCTTTTACCATTAAATTTTTGTACGTATCATATGTAGTAAAATTTGAGGACATAGTGATATGTTTGAATTGCATCTTCTTTTATCCTTTGGTTTCCTTTGGCACGAGTTATTTTTGGAAATTGCTTTCATTTACGACAATTGGTTCCCTTAATGCTAATAACCAACTAATACTATAATGCTATTGTTCAGTTCTGGCCAGGGGGTGTAGTCTTGCTTCACTCTTCGTTCCTTTCTTTTATTATCTGCACCTTTTCCATCCTTTCTAGCCATGTGTATCTGGTACAGGGATTTATGTTTATTTTCAATAACGAACCATGTAGCTCTCTTTCAAACCCTTGAAGCCATTTTTGTTTTGCATTGTTTCTTCTTGTAGCTTATATGATGACAAACTGATGTTTGATTCCATCCCGTTGAATATGTTCCAAAAGTGAATTTTAATTTTGTTCATTTTAGTTAATACCTTGTTTGTCGGTCTGGAATAGGTGCTATGGGAATTGATCTCGTGATCCTCTCTTCATTTCTTGTTCACAGTTTTATATTTGAAGAAATATCAATTGTTATAGAATGTCTAAAGCTACATTCTTGTTCATTTGTTTTAGGATTGTGTTTTGGACCTTTATAGATTTATGTCATATATGAATCCTTGTTTACTAACACGGTTCTTTCGGTTAGTTCTATAGTTAACTTTCTGTTTCTTATTTTTAGAAATTGAACTGCCGAAACCAAGTTCTGCTGGCGATTTTCCAATTGGACAGGAGCAACTAGTTTCAATGACGAGGGATCATAATTTTCCTGCTCTGCAACAATATGGGGGGGCAAGTCTACTAAAAAATCTATTTAGTGATCTGACTTGGTACATAAACAATGTTGCTTATATTTTTTCTTGGCTGTTCTCTTACATCAGGTTAAAGGGCTGGGAGATTTATTAAAAACAAATCTAGACAAGGGAATTCATGGAGATGATGCTGATTTACTGAAACGTAAAAATGCATTTGGAACAAACACATATCCTATAAAAAGAGCGAGGAGTTTTTGGGTAAGCTTTTGTTACAATTATGAATTTCTAAACTTAATGTATTGGAAATAATTAGAAAAAAAAAAGGGAATAGATTTGTGATGTTGTAATATTATTTTATTTCCTTGTGTTGTATGATAGACATTTCTCTGGGAAGCTTGGCAAGATCTTACTCTGATAATTTTGATGGTAGCTGCAGTGGCTTCTTTACTACTGGGTATAAAGACACAGGTGAGCATGACATTACCTTTTTAATAGCTTCACTCTTTATCAGTTTAGGATATGAAACTAGTCTTATGAGTATCTACCACTTGCGAAGCCCTTCTGCTTTTGTTTGTTTTGAAGTCTGATTTTTTGTTATCCCATGATTTGTCTTTCGTAAATTGGATAAATGATTGCATATGCTGTTAAGGCCATGATATTACAATTTCATAGTGGCATATATTCGGAAAAAGTGATATCATAATTCCTTGTGAATCCCGTTAGTTATTTGATTTAAAGATGAATAATTTGTTTATGGTGTTTGCCTTCTGTTTTCTTTGTTGCTTACAGGGTATAGATGATGGCTGGTATGATGGGAGCAGCATTGCTTTTGCAGTTATCCTTGTTATTGTTGTCAAAGGTAATGAATGGACATGTTTATTGAATATGTATGTATAGGTATGCATGTCCTCAGGGCCGGCCCTGACTTTTCGGTGGCCCTAGGCAATAAACTGAATGAGGCCCCTTCCCTTAGTTTATATACAATTGCAAAAAAAAAAAAAAAAAAAAAAAATGATT